GCCTTTGACTCCCTCATTATGGCTCTCTACCATTAAGTATTAAGTCCGTGTCAGGATATATTTTTTAAACCTATTTTTATTCATTTCAGAGAGGTAGGGAGAGGAAAAGAGTGAGAGAAAATCAATGATGAGAGACAATCACTGATTGGCTGTCTCCTGCATGCCCTGACTGGGAATCCAACCGTGACCTCCCAGTTCATAGGTCGATGCTCAACCACTGAGCCATGACGGCTGGGCTGACAGGGGATATATTTTAGAATCGACTAAAATAGTCAATGTAGATTTTAGGCTTAATCAAGTACTATTTATGAACTCACGAATAATTTCCATAGTTTATTGTATCTTTTCTGGTGAAACACTGCTTGAGAGCTTAGCCAGCGACTCCATTTCTTTGCTGTATCAGGACAATGGCGGCTTAAGGAGAAACAGGACCCTCCCTGGAGTTGTTTTGATCTGACTCGGCCTGTAAGATTGACTGCCTTCTTGGTGTTGAAGGTGGGACACTCACAGAACCCCTGTCCCCTCATCACCCTGCAAATGTGCCAAACTGGAGTCCTCCTCTCACACCTCCTGCTGGGTAAATGCCCTAAACCCCTAAAAGTGTCCTAAACCCCTAAAAGAAAAAAACCCAGCTCTGCTCTCCCATCCAAAGGAAATACCTGAAACCTGAGGGGGAGGGGAGGGTTAAGGAAAGTGAGAGTAGAAAAAGAGAATATTTCCCAAGCTTTTTTTTTTTTTTTTTTTTTTAAATATATTTTATTGATTTTTTTACAGAGAAGAAGGGAGAGAGATAGTTAAGAATGTCGATGACAGAGAAACATCGACCAGCTGCCCCCTGCACACCCCCCACCGGGGATGTGCCCCAACCAATGTACATGCCCTTGACGGGAATCGAACCTGGGACCTTTCAGTCCGCAGACCGACGCTCTACCACTGAGCCAAACCGGTTTCGGCCCAAGCTTTTTTTGAAGCATCAAATCATGATTTGATGATTCACATGCAATCGACCTACAAAGGTTTATTTAAAAGCCAAGGGCTGTCCCGGCTGGCGTGGCTCCGTGGTTGAGCATCAACTTATGAACCAGGAGGTCACCGTTCGATTCCCGGTCAGGGCACGTGCCCGGGCTGTGGGCTAGATCCCCAGTGTGGGGCGTGCAGAAGGCAGCCAATCAATGATTCTCTCATCATCGATTTTCTATCTCCTCTCTCTCTCCCTCTCTGAAATGAATAAAAACGTATTTAAATAAAAAGTTTAAAAGCCAGGGACTGCAGCAGGGACCTTGGCCAATATGGTGCTCTGTGACTCAGAGAGGTCCTGTCCTCATTGCCAGAAAGAAAGGGAGAGGACTAAGTTCGGACTTGGAATCGGTTACTCAAAGTAACTTTAAAATACAGGCCACTTGACTGGTGGGGGTGAGGCCCACAGGCTGCATGAGGTCGGATGTGGCAAAGCCGTGCAGTCAGGCTGCTCTGGGAGGAAGTGGGGCACAGCGGCTCTGAGCAGGGCTTTGGAGACAGACAGACCTGCTCCGATCCCACTGCTGCCGCCGCGCAGCTGCTGGATGGCCCGGGCTTGTCACGCCAGTGGGCCAGGCCTCAGGGGGGATGCTCATTATAGAGTGGCCACCTACCCGCCACGTGGTGACACGATGCGCACTCCAGCGCTGAGACAGCGCCCGCCCGCTCGAGGCGCCCGGCAAACTGGAATGGTTAGGGTGCTTTCAAGTGTCTCGTCATTCAGCCTGATTTCATCACCATGGCTTCTGCTGCCCATTTATGCAGTTGGTATAAAGGGAAAAAAGAAGAGGATGGCTAACTCCACCACTCCAATCAACTCTTTAATGCAAACTAAGAGCATAGTACTTAGTGTTGCAATCGTTAAGAAATCAACCTACTCTAGTCTACAATAAGGTTGTGCAAGTTTTGAAGTGCGAGAAACGTGAGCCTGAGTTTTAGGCAGGCAAACATAAATATACACTCATGTAGAACATGCATTGCATGGATTCCAACAAAAATGACCAATTTCACCTTTTTAAAAAAATATATTTCATTATTTATTTATTTATTTATTTATTTTACAGAGAGGAAGCGAGAGGGATAGAGAATTAGAAACATCGATGAGAGAGAATCATCGATCAGCTGCCTCTTGCACACCCCCCCATTGGGGATGTGCCCGCAACCAAGCTACATGACCTTGACCGGAATCGAACCCGGGACCTTTCAGTCCGAAGGCTGAAGCTCTATCCACTGAGCTAAACCAGTTTCGGCCACTTTCACTTCTTAACCCCTGCAAGGCCAGCGGGGGTCTGCTTGCTTCCCAGACCTGCTTTGCGCCACAGCAGCCCGATTCCTTTCCCCTCTCTAATTCAACACAAGTTTGTTCAGCTACGGTGTCTTATCTATGCTGGCCCTGGGGGCACTGAGACACATAGGAGGTAGCTCTGCCTTCAAGAACTTATAGCCTGGTAGGGGAGACAGACACCCGTGAGCCTCGATTTTCCACCAGGTCCCATTGCTAGGAAGGTGTACACACAGATTCTTGTTCTCAGCATGAGGGTTCCAGAGGGAACCTTTAGGCGTGGCTCCTGCCAGCAGGCAGAAGGCTCATTGGTGTGTCTGTCCAGGTGACTATGCCTTCTCTGGCCTTCCCTTCCTCCTTCCGAATGGAATCACCTCCTCGTCCCTCACTGTGAATCAGGGACCTGGGCTTTCCCACTTCAGAGATACCTGTGCCCTCATCTCCCTTCAACAACAAAGGAAGAAAAGCTTGGGGAAAGCCCATGGTAGTGAATACAAAGTCACTCCTGCTCACAAGCTAAATAGTTTCCCCGCTAAAGGCTGGTCCTGGCCGAAACCAGTTTGGCTCAGTGGATAGAGCATCAGTCTGTGAACTCAAGAACAGGTTCGATTTCGGTCAAGGGCATGTACTTTGATTGCGGGCACATCCCCAGTGGAGGGTGTGCAGGAGGCAGCTGATCGGTGTTTATCTCTCATCGATGTTTGTTTCTGACTCTCTATTCCTCTCCCTTCCTCTCTGTAAAAAATCAATAAAATATATTTATTTTTTAAAAAGACTGGTCCTGAAGGAGAATCTGTATGCGTTATATAAGATTGTTGATGAAAAAGACAAGGATCAACAAGGGTATTGAAGAAGGTGAGCTCCATCGCCTCTCCAGCCTGGTCAGGTTTAAGCCCTACAACCCTCAGATGTACAATCCCGAGAGCTGGATACAAGGGTTCTCAAGTCAAAGGACACAGGTGCCACAGAGGCGAGGACAAACCACAGGACTGGAGGACTAGAGAAGGCTGTGTGGAAGCAGATACATCCGCCCTGGAAACTGAGGGAACCTCGGCCCCAAAGACTTCAGATCCAGCTTCCAGGCCTTTTACTGGATGTGGATGAGAGAGAGAGAAAAGTGTGGAGATGAGCACACATTTGATGTTCGCACGAATTATAGCGATCAAGACCTGACCACATAAGGAAACTCAACAATTGGCTTGGTTTATGTCAACATAAGTTTAATCATAGTCATTTATGCCAAGTGCCTTACCATTTGTATCTAATGGCCACATTATAACATAACAATGATGTACTTTAACAAACGTGGTACAGAGTGGTTCTGAGTTTTATTGGATTGGGTGAGTGAATGATGTACCCGGTGCCAGCATTTGCAATTTCTTCCTTGAGTTACATGGTCTCTGTTCTCAACGTTAACAGATGATTGATGCCATTGTTTTTTGAAGCTTTTTAGATAGAATGAGGTTTAAGGCGGAGTCATCATTCAGTATTTTCCCTGGTAAGATTTTATCTGAAAATTGGCTATACAGTTTTCCTATTCCCTGTGCTTGGACTTTGTGGGGCTTTTGTTTTGTCTTTGTTTTTGTTTTAACTCTGGTGCTTCACATGGATGAAATAGTAAAAGCTATAAGTTGTACCTGTGTTCCCTTATACACACACACATATGTACATAGACACCTTAGTCATTACTCTGATTACATCCTAAAATTAATAAATTATAGATGCCCTTCCAGAGCTCAAGTAACCAATTCCCCAGATTACCCTGCTCTCACTCACAAGGCCTGCAGCCAGGGGTGGGGGCCAGTGTTGGAAAACCCAGGCAAAGTGCAGCGGTTCCCAAAAGAAAAGATTTTTAAATTCTGTTCTGAGCTCTGTTGCCATTACTTGGAGCAGTCAGATTCCCTCCCCAAATGGTTTTCCTTTCATCTGTTTTGGTAAATGAAAGAGAATACTTAGTGCATCATGGGAGTCCATTGAGTGAAAGGTAGAACCATAAATAAGAAACGCTTTTTTACATATGATTACAGGAAAACAGACGGGTAACTGTTAAACTCATTAGGCAGTATTAAAGTAGCATATGTTATCGAATGTATTTTATACACAAATTGGCTAACAGCTGGGCGGAGAATTAATAGCAAGGATTGGCTGGCAGTCCTTTTAAAATCTGATCACCTAGTAAAATCAGGTAGGCAAGTGGCTTCAACAAAAGTCACTACTTCAAGTGAAAATAACATCCCGAACACATGGCGGAGTCCTGTAAGGTCATGTCACACACACACCTACACCGGAGTGTGTTTGTGAGTCTGTAGGAAAAGACTTCCCAAGTGTGAAAACTAATTATGTACAAGAGCTCTACACTTGGTTACCATTTAAATAAAACATGTCTTTAAATATAGAATTCTTTGGAAAACTCACTTCCCTGTCCAAAATTATGGGGACCTTTTTAATTTCTTAACCAGAGATAGAATATCCGTTCCAGCTTCTCGAGAGATTGCCTCGTTGGCCAGGACGAGGAGTCCGTTTGCAGAGTGTACTTAATAAAACCACCAGCGACCAAGTCCCATCAACCAACCATATCCCAAAGCACACACTGCCCGGGATGTACCCAGGAAGAGCACCCACCCTTGCTGTTGGCTCTCCCTGTGCCCATTAGTCTTTGAGGTGGGTGAGTAAATGCATGTTGGGTGAAGTCTCTTGGGAGTTAGAAGATCTTGCACTCATTGATGGAGAAGAGCTTCCTCCTGTTGCGTCTCCTGGCCTGGTTGACGGCAGTCCGGACGGCACACTCAAACACCTGCTGGACCCCCCGGTTGCTCAGGGCTGAGCACTCCAGGTAGCCCTTAGCTCTCACGTCCTGGGCTAGTCGCTTCCCATCAATGGCACTGATGCAGGAGGCCCTGTGGGTCCCCACCTCCCGCTGGTCCGTCTGGGTGGCCACCACCAGCACGGGAGTACAGGGCAAGTGGCTCCTGATCTCGCCAATCCACTTGTTCTTCAGGTTCAGGAAAGAGTTGTGGTTGGCCACGGAGTAGCACATCAGCACCACGTCGGCCTGCTGGTAGGACAGGGGGCGGATGCTTTTGAAGGCGTCGTTGCCGGCGGTGTCCCAGAGGCCCAGGCTGATCTGCATGCCGTCCATGAAGACGTCCACGCCCGTGTTCTCGTACACCGTGGGCTTGTAGGCCTCTGGGAAGGTCTCGGAGGTGAAGCGCACCAACAGGGAGGTCTTCCCCACGGCAGAGTCCCCCACCAGCACACACTTGATGGAGCTCAGCATCTTCCCAGCTTGGATCCCTCGTTACGCGTTCAGAACCCTTGGATGGCCAAGGCCAATGCCATTCAACGCAGGGAATAAAAACTGGATGGGTCTGTGGTCCCAGGGTCTCCAGCAGCAACCTGCAGAACGCTGCTTCTCTCCAGGCACCCGAGAGAGGCCCCGGTCTACTTCGAAAAGCTCCAAAGTCCGGTCTTCAGCTGGAACAGAAAGAGAAGAGGGAACATTGAGTCTTTCTTTTTCCTTTTTGGATGAGACTGGGCCCTTCCTCCCGGGCAAGCCGGTTACACATGGGGCCCACCTCAGTGGAGCTGCCCTCCCCGACTCGCCTAACCCACTCTTCCCCGGCAAAGAGGGCTTGGATCTGCTTATCCCCCAGCTCATGCACCCGCAACTCCACCCAGTCAAGAAGCAGAAGCTGATTTTATCTAGAAAAATCAGCCTAGTGATAAAAAAAAAAAAAAAAAAAAAAAAAAAAAAAAAAAAAAAAAAAAAAAAAAAACACCAGCAACTGCTCTGATCATAACATGAAAAAGACCTCGATAGCAACCTGGTGTGTGAATGAGCCGTTTTCAAACAGCTCGCGCTCTCTCTCTCTCTCTCTCTCTCTCTCTCTCTCTCTCTCTCTGGCTTCCGCCCCAAGAAGCAGGGAAGGCAGCTGGCAGCGCTCTCCCGCTTCAGTTTCTAGTGGATCCCAGCCGCTTCGGGAACTGCAAGGGAGAGGCCGGTAATGGATCACCGCATCACAAGCACTTCCTTTCATTGATGGATTAACCAGCCAGTCCTTGGTTTATGTGGGAATGTGTGTTGAGGTCAGAGAAAAGAAATGACCAGAACTCTAAAAATTTGCTGTGTTTTTTTTTCCCCCCTTGAGTTTTGTTTTGTTTTTTCCCAAAAAAAAAGTGGCTGCTGTTCTAATGGAAAGGGCTCTGCCCTTGCGTTTCTGCATCTGAGCTCAGACTTCATCACTTACACAGCAGCATGGCTTGGAGCAGGCACTGCTTGGTCTCTGAGCCTCATTTTGCACATCTGCACGGTTATGATCGATTTAGGAGCTGCTCCTCAAAGATGTGAGGGTCAAATTATTTCTTTCTCTCAATGTGGTGTGTTGTTTTTTTGTGGGGGCTTGTGTGTGTGTGTGTGTGTTGTGTGTGTGTGTGTTTTAACTTTATTGTTGAAAGTATTACATAGGTCCTCCCTTTTCCCCGATTAAACTCTTCCAGCCAGCTCGTGCCCCCGTCCCAACCCCAGGCCCTCACCACCCCATTGTGTGTCCACGGGTTATGCTTATATGCACACAAGTGCATTGCTTTAAACATTGTTGGATAGCCGCCTCTATATCAGAACTCCGATAGGCCCTTGGTTAAACAAAATAACTTGCTTAAGTAATCACATTCAGTGCCTGTCACTTCAATAAGACTGCATAAAATAAGACAGAATCTGAATTTCATGAAAAGATCAAATAAATCCTCATTCACTGCAGGTGAGCGAGTCCCTGGCGATGAGACCAGCAGTGGAGACAGTGACCTATTTGCCAAGGAACATCATCACAAGGCCAGCCCTGCCACAGACAAAGGAAAGGTCTTTCAGACCGAAATCCAAAGTACAGCTTATGAGTACAATCCAGGCTTCAAATTCCCCTGCCGGGGATCTTCCTGACATGTCACACGCAAAGCAATATAAAGCCAACCTCCAGGTCTGCTTCAGCTTTTAAAGGTCATTCCTCTAAATCCTGCCATCCACCTCCAAGACATTTTTTTTAAATATATTTTTTATTGATTTTTCACAAAGAGGAAGAGAGAGGAACAGAGAGTTAAAACATCGATGAAAGAGAATCATCAATCAGCTGCCTCTTGCACACCCCCCACTGGGGATGTGCCCGCAACCAAGGTACATGCCCTTGACCGGAATCGAACCCGGGACCCTTCAGCCTATCGGCCTGAGTCAAACCGGTTTCGGCTCCAAGACATTTTTATCCTTGCCAACCCCTGGTCTCTGTTGGTTTAATTAGATAAAATAGCCTTTGCAAATGAGAAGAAGAAAGTGTCTTTTTCATGTAACTATTGTAAGAATTCAGCATGTGGAGAGTCTGGCTCGGCACAGCACCTGCATCTGGGATCTATAGAGAGCCATCATGTTACCAATTTGCACTACTATTTATTTAAAATACCAAACACCGAGTGTCCATGGCACAGGGCCAGGGTGTCCAAGGTTCAGCAGATTCTATCTGAAGACCATCGTGGGTCACTGTCATGCAGGATGGTCCTGGACGTCTTTGTCTCCAGACCTTGGAGCAAAGTCTCCTTGGGCTCCATCGGTCTCAAACCTCAGATCCTTAGACTTACTGATGGCTTAAATACATTTACACACACACGCACGCACGCACGCACATACTCCTGTTACCTAGTTAAATCTAAGACCTGTTAAGACATTTTTTAAGCTTTATTCTGATCCCAATGTAGCAGGACCAGAACTAGGAAAAATGGACATGCGCCAGACTTTTGGTTATCAAATAAAATCTCTCTAATGAGGTTCAGTAAAAGCCAAATTTCCTGACTAAATATCTGCAAAAAGAAGTTGACGAGGCAACATTGTTAAGAACACGGGCTCCGAAGTCGGGTAGATCTGGTGTTGAACCTGGGCTGCCCAAACGACTTGTGTGACAACCTAAAGGGACATTCTTAACCCACCTCAGCCTCAGTTTCCCTCCTCTGTAAAATCAATGTAATAGCACCAACATCACCAGTTGTTGAGAGTATTATGTGCTTAGATGTATAAATTCCTTAGCATAGTGCATAATGTAAACATTCTATATGTACATAGTCAACACATAGCAAACACACAATAAGTATTCCTTATTAATATCACTGTTAGATAATAATTACTAAACATAGTGATAATTGCCGAAACCGGTTGGCTCAGTGGATAGAGTGTCGGCCTGCGGACTGAAAGGTCTCGAGTTCAATTCTGGTCAATGGTTGTGGGCACATCCCCAGTGGGGTGTGTGCAGGAAGCAGCTGATCGGTGTTTCTCTCTCATCGATGTTTCTAACTGTCTGTCCCTCTCTCTTCCCCTCTGTAAAAAATCAATAAAATATATTTTTTTAAATAATAAAATAAACATAGTGATAATTATTAATAAGTGGGAACTTCGAAGTAGCTCTAAAGAGTATTTGTCCTGCAAAAGATTCACTGTATATCTTATATCCAGTTATGACTACAAAAAAGGGGGGTATCTTTATAGTATAAAAATATATAAAAATATATCTATACATAAACAAAGAAATTCTGTCTGAGCTTTGCCATCTAGAGAGCTCCAGAGAGTCAGACGGGAGAAAAAGACTCTGTTCAGTCAAGTGACCTTCACCCCCCAGCCCATCTGGCACTCAGAGGCTCATCAAGTCAGCTCTCCGGGCCTCGGTTTCCCAAACAGTGAAGTGGTTGAATAAGACCAGCTTTCCCTGTGGTTCAATTGAAACTAAAGCCAGAGGAGAAACCTTTATTGCCTGCCACAGTGGCTATAAGAACAAACCTCTGCATGATTCCGTAGCAGGAGCATGGAAGAGCTATATAATGACATGCATAGCCTTTAGGGGATGCTAAATATGGAGCTGGGAGAGGAGGGCGGGGGAGGAGCTCTGATCCAGGCTAGAGCGATACCCTATATAGACATGACAGACCATCTTCAGACGGTGTGTCACATGTGCCCGAGACAGAGCCGCCCTGGGCCACATCATCAGTGTGGAAGGCGAATGAGCTTGAGTTCCGTGGGATTTCTCCTAAAGGGGTTGTTACCACGTGAGAAACAGAAGCAGGATTTCAGTGATATTTCACAAGTGGCTACCTGGAGGGATGCCTCAATCATGTGTCTCTCAAAACAGAAGAGTTACGGAGAGTGACTTCAGATAGCGCCATGAGCAACCCTTGTAGGACTTAAAGCAGACTGCAATTTAGGAACCTCCCATGCCCGGCGCCTCTCAGGTCTCGATAAATTGATTTCTCGTCTCTTTCTCCTCTTTTCGCCGTTTTCACAGGAAGGGTGCCTTGCACAGGCCCCTGTGGTTCACACACAGAGAGAGGACAGAAAAGAGCTTCATCTTGCCAAGGCAGAGGTGTAGCGAAGGCCCAAAGGCAGAGGACAGGAGGGCTTAGGGATGAGTTCTCATCCATTTCATCTGCTGGAGCTCTGAGGGCTGTCCAGTAGGAAATCCTCAATTCTCATCCCAACTAACAGATACCCACTCTTCACTCTCCCTCTTTCTTCAGATACACTCTGTGCCTCTCTATTTGCCTGGAAAGACCTGCCCTTCACTCACCACCCCCCAACTCTCATCTCTTCTCGAAAAATCTTCTTTGGCCGGGACCGGTTTGGCTCAGTGGATAGAGCGTCGGCCTGCGGACTGAAAGGTCCCGGGTTCGATTCCGGTCAAGGGCATGTACCTTGGTTGCGGGCACATCCCCAGTAGGGGGTGTGCAAGAGGCAGCTGATCGATTATTCTCTCGCATTGATGTTTCTAACTCTCTATCCCTCTCTCTTCCTCTCTGTGAAAAACCAATAAAAATATATTAAAAAAAAAAAAAAGAAAAAGAAAAATCTTCTTTGATCACCTAACCCACTGGTAGACCAGGTGCCCCCTCTGTGTGGCCATACGAACCCCCACTCTTCATACCATCATCATCATCATCATCATCGCACTCTGCTGAAATGTTGGTCCTCTTGTGTTTATCCCTCATCTGTGAAGATGGAATTAGATCTACCCCCCTTCCTCAGTTCAGTGGAAATATATAACAAATGCAGTGATTTGTGCTTGGACTCTCACAAGACTTTGTACATTTGGAAATACTCTCTTATTTGTTATGTTAGAACGCCTCTTCAGAACAATAGAGCACAGTATAAAACTAAGGTGAAATTATGACTATTACTAACCAAAAAATTATGATAGTAGTTTTTAGGTTATTTGGACTTTATGAGGTGGCTTACTTCATAATGCTGATGGAATCCTC